TGTAGCAACTCGAGGTTTGAATTTGCTCTTCAGTTCCTTGAGCTTAAGAAATGCTGAATGAGTTCGGCCCTTTTGATTTTCCGACTCTAGCTCCTCGCACATTTCATTGTAGTATTTTGTTTTGTCATTCTGTGCTGCCTTTTGGAATCTTCTGTTCAGCTCTTTAGTGTCTTGGATTCTTCCTTGTGCTTTATTTCTGGATTCTTGATTCTATTCCATTGGTCTACATGCCTGTCATTGTACTAGTACAGAGGTATTATCATAGCTGTACAATATGTCTTGAAATAAAGGAATGTAGGCCAACATTTCTCCCCTCCTTTATAGTTATTCTTTTTAAAGCCCCTTTGTTACTTTAATAATTCTTTAAATATAGCCGTTCCCTTCACCCAACCCACTCTGTCTCTTTTATGGAATTACTAATTCTCCTTCCTCTTCCCCTCTCCTCCCATCTCTGGTAAGAATAATTTGTTCTGTTTGCCTATGTGTCCTTAGTTGTTGGGGTTTTTTATTAACAGTGGCTTCATACAGTAGGCTGTAAGTGCACAGCAAATCCTTGTTTCTTAGAACTGCTTGTGAGTCTATAATTATCTCAAAAAATAGAAAAAATATCCTAGCAGCAACTACCATTTATTCAATAAATATCTGCATGGTGCCCCCTGCGTTCCTCACATAATTCGAGGTGCTGGAGGAGATACAACAGAAAATAATACAGAGAAAAAGCCCTGTCCTCACAGAGCTGATATTCTAATGGCATTTGTTTTGCCCGTGACTTTATTCAGTCAGGTTGATTATAATTCAAGTTGTGGCACAGATGCTGATCACAAAGTATTTGCTTTCCTCAGCTCTTCAAAAAACAGTATATTGCCTGCCTGTCCTCATTCTCTGTAGAATTTCTTTTTCCTGTGCTACTTGGCAAGGCTCAGATGTTTGGGGATATCAAGATGTGTCACAAATGGTAAATCAATGAGTCACTCTTTCCTTTTGCCACAATGATTAGAATACCTGAAAAATTAAAAAATCATTCAACTCTGTGCTTGAAAATACTAACTCCCTTTTCTTTTGTATCCTCCGTCCCTCTAGGCTACAGACAGTACCTAAATACGAAGCTGTGTACTCCATCCTTATTCACAGAGATGGTTAGGATTTGATTGATGAGTCTCCAATCCCAGCTAGTTCTGCCAAAGAAAGACACTTCTCTTTACGACTCCAGTGCTCTAGAGGTCCACAGACGTCAGGGAAGAAGATGCAACCAGCAGACAGAAAATGGCAGCCACCCAAACGTTAAGGGGGACCCTCGCAGGCATTGTCCCCCCTGTCCCCAATCCTTCCCCATGATGGCCTGTAACAGCACTTCCCTGGAGACTTATGAATACTTGGTGGCGAACGTGAGCAACGCGTCCCACGCGGGGCAGCCCACACTGCCTGCCCCACTCAGGATCTCGTTGGCAATAATGATGCTGCTGATGATCGTGGTGGGCTTCCTGGGCAACACCGTGGTCTGCATCATCGTGTACCAGAGGCCGGCCATGCGCTCCGCCATCAACCTGCTGCTGGCCACCCTGGCCTTCTCGGACATCATGCTGTCCCTGTGCTGCATGCCCTTCGCCGCCATCACCCTCATCACCGTGCAGTGGCGCTTCGGGGACTCCTTCTGCCGCCTCTCGGCCGCCCTCTACTGGTTTTTTGTCCTGGAGGGCGTGGCCATCCTGCTGATCATCAGCGTGGACCGCTTTCTCATCATCGTGCAGCGCCAGGACAAGCTCAACCCACGCAGGGCCAAGGTCATCATCGCCGTGTCCTGGGCGCTGTCGTTCTGCATCTCGCTGCCCTCGGTCGCCGGCCGGACGTTGGTGGAGGTGCCCGCGCGGGCCCCGCAGTGCGTGCTGGGCTACACCGAGTCCCCCGCGCACCGCGCCTACGTGCTCACCCTGGCGGCCGCTGTGTTCTTCGCGCCCTTCAGCGTCATGCTCTGCTCCTACATGTGCATCCTCAACACGGTCAGGAAGAACGCCGTGCGCGTGCACAACCAGTCCGACAGCCTGGACCTGGGACAGCTCACGCGCTCGGGCCTGCGGCGCCGCCAGCGCCAGCACCAGGTCAGCGTGGACCTGAGCTTCAAGACCAAGGCCTTCACCACCATCCTCATCCTCTTCGTGGGCTTCTCGCTCTGCTGGCTGCCGCACTCGGTCTACAGCCTCCTGTCGGTGTTCAGCCGGCGCTTTTACTACAGCTCGCACTTCTACGCCACCAGCACCTGCGTCCTGTGGCTCAGTTACCTCAAGTCCGTCTTCAATCCTGTCGTCTACTGCTGGCGAATCAAGAAATTCCGCGAGGCCTGCATCGAGCTGCTCCCGCAGACCTTCCAGATCCTTCCCAAAGTGCCTGAGCGCATCCGGCGGCGGATCCAGCCGAGCACGGTGTACGTGTGCAACGAGAACCAGTCGGCTGTCTAAGTGCCAGGCCCGGCAGGACAGGAGGACACGGGGCTGGCCCTTCCGCTCTGCATCCTGGCACTTTAACCATGGTCAGCATTTCGTGGGGACTGTTTAAGCACAAAGGTACTCATATGTGGCCCGATGGGCTGTGGCTCCCAATGCTGGCACGATGATGATTTTTGTTTCTCACTACAGAAAAATAATGTGTGGGTCTGAAGGAAGCCGGGGCAGGGACTTAGCTTGAAATAGGAGTGAGGTGAGGGGGGATGGGAAAGGCATCCCAGTTGGCAATAGTTCAGTGTTGGGTTGCTAACCCAGAGGTCGGTGGTTGGAATCCATCAGCGACTCCTGCAGGAGAAAGATGGGCGGGGCTCCTTTTGTGAGAATTCATGGCCTCCAAAACCTGCTGGAGGGTCTTCGGAGTAGGAATTGAATCTTGGACAATAGGCTTGATTCAAGGATAGGGAAGAGGGCAGAAGTTTCCGAGAGAAAGTGAAGAAAGAGTGGGGGCCAGCCAAAAACTTGGCTGAGTGTGAGACAGAAGGCTTGTCTATTACAGTAGATCAATTCTAGATCAAGTCATTGTTCCTCTGTGGAGACCCCAGATACCTCAAATGGTGAAGCTCTCAACTAATAGTCAAAAGGTTGGTGGTTCAAACTCACCTAGTGCAGCCTTGGTTAGGTCAGCTTCTAAAAGATCTCCTCGAAAACCCTGTGGAGCAGTTCTTCTCTGCACCTGGTGAGGGCGCCGTGAGTAAACCTGGCCCAAGGACAGCTGGCAGCTCCCTCTCTCTGCCCCATGAAGAAAAACCCCATGGTGCCATATTCTGAGATGAGAAACTCAAACCATTATCTTCTCAATGGCTCATTTTATTAAAATCATTACTCACTTTACTGAAGCCAGCATCCTACATTTATTTACATTGTGTGGTGTAGGGAGAAAACACCTACACTTCTTCACTTGGGTCATTGTGTACATTTCTAATAATGCTAAACCATCCTCTCTGTATACTAAAACCTCACTGAAAAACCACCTGAGCTCCTGTGAATTTCCATTCCACAGCCCACCTCTTCATCCGTGGGAGCCCTCAGCGACTGGAAACCCAGAGAATGTTCTAGGGCAACTCAACAGATGTGAAACACTCACCTTGCCTGTTTCTCATGAGTGTCATCTGAACACTCAAGCATGTGCCAGGCCCCATCCTACCTGGTCTGCGTTCCTTAGCAGTCATCTCCCTGTCATGACCCTGTGCCCTAATGTCTTTCAGTTCTCCCTGTCTGCTGTAAGAGAAGTCCCTGAATGGTACAAGGAGTATGTGCTCAATTAAAGATTAGTGGTTGAAACTTACCCAGGGATACCACAGCAGAAAGGAATACCACTTACAGAAAAGCAGTCTGCTTCTGTAAAGATTACAGCCAGGAAAACCTTGTGGAGCAGTCTTTCTGTAACACACGGGATGACCGTGAGCTATTACCAACTCACTGGCATCCAGGGGGGGTGTGGGGAGTGTGTGTATGTGTGTGTGTGTGTGTTTTCATGAAAGCTGGTTCCTTCTCACTCTCCCCTTCCTGTGTCACTGTTTGCCTTGCCTCCCTCTATTTTCATGCTGTCCATTCCCAGTGTGGTGGAAGATCACTCCTGGAGTTAATCTCTTCGAGAGTGATTTGCTTTACGTTTCAGAAACAGTCAGTCACTGTGCTTTGTTTACATTTTCCCTCTGGCCACCCTGGGGCTCCACAGTCTTTGTGAACCAACAAGCTGACTTCGGCACTAGATTTGCTGCAGGGGGTACAATAAACAATTGGCTGCTGGGTTGTTGCCTATTGATCTGTATGTTCCTCCTACCTTACTCAATTCTGACTGCTGCCATGTGGTCTACCTACCCAGGCGCTCGATTCTAGAACCATGGGATGAAATCTGTGTTTCTGCTTGCACAGTATCCTTGACCACCATGGCCATGACTATCCTACTCCTTCCCCCAAGAAGCTCTTGGCATTGGGGAAGGGATTTCCTGAATTCAGGATTATGAGCTCACTAAACTCTTTTTAAGGAACTCTGGTGGTGCAATAGTTGAGCTCTTGGTTTCAAACTAAAAGGTTAGCAGTTCAAACCCACACGGTGGCTCTCCAAGTGCAAATACCTGAAAGTCTGCTCCCATAAAGACTCAGTCACTTACTGCCATTGAGTTTGAACTGACTCATAGCAGACCCTCCAATGAGTTTTCAGAGACTGTAAATTACATGGAGGACATTGTCCATCTTTGTCCCTTGGAGCAGCTGACAGATTTGAACCACCCACCTTTGGGTTGGCAGTACAACTCTACTAGGTCACCAGAGCACCTCCCATAAAGATCACACCCTAGGAAACCCTGTGGAAGCAGGTCTACTCTGTCATATAAACTTTCTGTTGAGTCAGAATTGAGTGTTACCATAGCACCCAACAACAACAAGTTCTTTTGATGTGCTTTAAGATCTGGGGGAGGTGGGGGAATAGGAACTGTAACCTGATGCCAGGTCTGCTGCTCCCAGGAACTGGTTGTGTGTTTTTATGTAGTTCAAGCTTTTCTTCTTTAGGCTTCAACCTCTGCATCTCACAAATGAAGGAACATGTCTACAGATCGCCAATATTCATTCCATATCTCAAACTCACTTATTCTAAAATTTTAATGTTTTCTCCTCTTTGTCACTAAGTCCCGTACATTCCTTTATTCATCCATGCAATGAGCAAATATTAAGTGCCTATTAAATTCAAGGCATTTGGGGGGAGGTAGAGAGAATAAGGCAAGGGCCATACCCAAACGTAGTCATATGATGCATCTCAGGATAATTAATGGCCCCTCAAATTCAGCCTAAAATCACAGAACCTAAGTTCTCATTTTATTTCTCATTTTATATCTTAGGTTGAATTAAGACACTTGGAGTCACTAGAGTGAGTGCTTAACCACTAACTGAAAGTTTAGAGGTTCCAGTCCACCCAGAGGTGCTTCAGAAGTAAGGCCTGGCAATCCAGTAGGAAAAAACAGCCACTGAAAGCCGTAGGGGCTGCAGTTCTACTTTGGTCCATGAGGTCCCCATGAGTCCGAGTCGAGTTGGTGGCTAACAGTGTTGCAGGTTTGTTTGTTTTTATTAAGAGGCCTGCTCCTCACTCTCTTCTTTTCATCCTGTGGTAGCTATGACAGAGGTAGAGGAGGAAGGAAGGTAGAAACAATAACACAGGTTTCACTCCTCAAAGACCAGAGGAAGGCTTTGCCCAGGAAATAAGTGACTTTTCTCACCAGCTCCATGCTTCTTTTACACCTCAATGAAGAGAGAAAGAGAATTACAATTGTTTTGTGACTCATTTAAGTGGACATAGTAAATTTTTTGTCCTGTGAGCCCAACAAGCACAGGCTAAGGTTTATGTGCAGCTCCCCATGGGGCAGGACTGCGGGGTCCCTGAGGGCAGAGTAGGGTCCCTTCCAGCCCTCAGCAGAGAGGTGGATAACCCCAGGGCAGGATCCCCTCCAGTGGGCATTTAAGAATGTTCTGTAGAAGCCTGGAAGTAAAATAGAAATCACAAGACAAAGAATGAAGGTACCAAAACTTACATCCATCAGTGTTATATGACGTATGTCTAACAGTAATATATATGTTCCAAAGTAATAATTTTGTATATATTTTAAATAAAGTATTATGGCTCTTTCTGTGTATAAGACGGTCTATTTGGCTGTTTTCTCTGTGGTTTTGGGACGGTTTTTTGCTAGCAGTTTAACATGCTACACATTCCTGTTTGGTTACCTGACTCAATTCATTGCCATCAAATCGAAACTGACTCATGGCTGACCCTCCAGTGGGCTTTCAGAGGCTGTATCCTGCACAGGAGGAGACTGCCTATCTTTTTTCTGCAGAGCAGCTTATGGATTTGAACTGACTGCTTTGGGTTGACAATGCAACTCTTAAGGCTGTCTTCTTGTTAAAATTAATATCACAGACAGATTTAGGTGACTGTGCTTAAACAATGTGGGTCACAGCTTGAGTACCACCCTTCACTACAACCTGGCAAAGTCTCTCTATCTGCTGGCTTTCACCGCAGAGTTTCAGCTCGCCAGCCTTCAAAATGATCTCTGGCCTCGCAGAACCTCTCATGAACTTCAGTTTCCTAAGGTAATCTACATTGATACCTAGTTCTCATTCCCTTAGGTTTACATGGCAGTAACTGTTTTGGGGTTTGTTTGTTTTGTTTTGTTTTTTACTCTCTCTTCAATCCTGAGATTTACCAGAACTCTGAAGTCCCTTTGTGTTTCACACAGTCAATGGTTTCTATGGGGCTTTGGGAGAGAGGTGAGAAATCAGTCACTTATGGGTATAACTAGGGAGCTCGATGGCCTAGTCCCTAGGGAGTTGTACTGCTAACCCAAGGACCAGGTCTCTGGTAGTTTGAATCCACTAGCCTCTCTGGGTGAAAACTGTGGAACTTATACAGCTTCTGAAAACCTAGTAGAGGGTCAGCTCTGAGTCAATTTTGACTCAACAGCAATAAAAAAGATGGCTTTAACTGCCCCAGGAGGTAAGGTCCTGGCACATACTGGGAAAGCCCAGTCTTCGAAAATGAAGCACAAAGTAAATATCAGAGCTGCCATCCTAATTCTCAGTCCACACCTTGTAGTAGTTAATCTTCCTCTGCTTTGCTGGGGTGATAGGAAAGGAAAGGGCCTCTGGGTTGTTTTGGCATCCAAAATGGGCAGCATAAGCCTAGGTCAATTTTTCCTTTGTTATTTTGAGCCCTGGATATATTTCCCTCCATCATCATTTACATGGCCTGTTTTTATAAACTAAAATAACCTCCACGGTAAATATTTTCAAAGTTTCCCTGCTCCCATTTCTCACATAATTGACAGCCCTGGCCACAGAGTCCTTAAGTGGCAGGAGTGCCCACCACTTGGATTTTGCTTTGACAGAAATTATGCAAAGGCCATGGCA